GCTACTACGGGGTCCCATCGACAATTATACACCTCATCCAACAGTTATACGACAATGCTGCATGCCAAGTAATCCACAACGGGAAACTTACGGAAGCCTTCGAAGTGAGGACGGGAGTGAGGCAAGGCTGTCTACTATCACCAATGATCTTCCTGATTGCAATTGATTGGATAATGCGACAGACAACGGCAACCAACGAGGGAACAGGCATAAAATGGACTGACACAAAAGACTTGGAGGATCTGGATTTCGCCGATGATATATGTCTGATTTCCCATAAACTGGAAGATATGCAAGTGAAAAGTAACAAGTTGGCAGAAGAAGCATCAAAGATAGGACTTCACGTGAACATAGATAAAACAGAGATGATGAAGATTCCTAGCCAACATCAACAACAACAACAGACCACAATAAGCATAAATGGGAAGAACCTGAAAGAAACAACCTCCTTCACCTACCTGGGAAGCATCGTCTCAACTACAGGCGGAACTGACGAGGACATCAAAGCCAGAATCGGAAAAGCAAGACAAGCTTTCATTACTCTCAAATCTGTGTGGAGGTCAACAGCAATCAGCATCAAAAATAAGATCCGGATTTTCAACTCCAATGTGAAGTCAGTGCTACTATACGGATCAGAGACTTGGCGAGTCATAAAGAGCATCTCAAACAAACTTCAAACCTTCATTAACAACTGTCTCCGCTCAATACTCAAGAAAAAAAAAAAAAAAAAAAAAAAAAAAAAAAAAAAAAAAAAAAAAAAAAATCAGGAACCGATTGTGAAACAAATAGGCAGAAAGAAATGGAGATGGATTGGCCATACGCTGAGGAAACCATCAAGTGACATCACTAGACAAGCCCTCGAGTGGAACCCGAAAGGGAGGCGGCGAGTTGGTCGTCCAAGGGTGACTTGGAGGAGGTCATGCGAGGAGGAGATGAAAGCATGTGGACAGACCTGGAGCAGGTTGAAAAAGTTGTCAGAAAACCGAAGTCAATGGAGGTGCGCAGCTGAAGCCCTATGTTCCTCTAGGAACTAAAGGATACAATAATAATAATAATTTATACATTTCGAATACTGATAGAACTATCAAGTTGTCCAGTAGTTGTAAATAACAGTGTTCACAGCTTTTTTATTGTTAGATGAGCGTTTCTGAGGTTTTGAGTTGGTATCTTTCTTGTAGACTTCAATTTGAGGATATGTATATCTTGTCTGCAAATTTCAATTTGCTACTGAACAGGGTGTAATCATTCTGTTACGTCGGTTATCAGTAGAAACATTCTAATAAAAGTACCAGGTGATATTAATTTTCGACTATTTCTGAGTACAGATTGCGCATTTCATTACAGAAAAGCAAGATATTGTCATGTAACAAAACAGTATTAATACTATGCCCTTAGTTTCCAAGTGGAACGTAGGGCTTCAACAGCACATCTCCACTTGATCCCGTTTTCTGCAGTCCTCTTTATCTAGATGATAACCCATAGACTGTCATCTCACACGGTCTCATCCATGTCACCCTAGGATACCCAACTCGTCGTTTCCCACTCGAGTGTATGGAGTGCGATATCACTCAACAGTTTCCCCAGTGTGTGTCTGGTCCATCCCCGTTTCTTTCGGGATATTTGTCGGGAAATAGGTCCATGGTTATTTTGTTCCTATAGTTTCTTGTTTATGATCCTTTTTGGCCGGTCATCTAACCTTCAGTATCGGGACAACGAGGGTAGTTGTTGATGAAATTCTACAGGCTGTTGAAAATGCTTTAGCCAACACACTTCTCGAGTCTTTGCAATGTATAGAAGCGCTGACTTGATATTTGTGTTGGAGATCCGAATCTTGTCCTGTTTACTGAAAGCAACAGATTTCCAGATTAATGAAGGTCTGTCTTGCCCTTTCAGTCCCGGCTTTGGTATCCTCATTTGTGCTGTCAACTGTAGTTGAAACAATGCTTTCTAGACAAGTGGAAGTGGTGCCTTCCTTCAGATTTCTAGTCTTGATGTTGATCGGTGCTTGTATTTGTTGGTTTGGTATCTTCATCACCTCTGTCTTCTCTATATTCACACGAAGTTCTGCCTTCGGTGCTTCTTCTGCCAACTTGTTGGTTTTCGTCTCTTGATCCTCAAGTTTGCGTGACATCAGATATGAATCTCCCGCGAAGAGTAAGTTTTCAGAGTCTTCTTGTCTGCCCAGCGTATTCCTATCTTATCACTCCCCATGCAAAGTCTCCTACATGATCCAGTCCACCACAATTAGGAATGTCATTGTTGATAGTAATCGGCTTTGTCCTACTCCTGTTTACACGTTGAATGCTTTGCTGAGTTTTCTCATCTTGATGTGGCTGTTGAATTACGGCGTTAAAAGTTTCGGGAAACAAATCAAATCCGTGCAAACTAACTCCTAAAGACTAATCTGATCCTCGCTAGTGACTGGTTACAAGAAAAAGTTACCTAGAATTGTAGTGAGAAGTTGTGATCAATGGGTTCCATCCGGTCAGCAGTGAGGACAGATACTCGCTGATTATGTCGTAATATCATCGAAAACCTGGGAGTACTGGACAACTGTTTCGTCCCAGTTTGGGACTCTTCACAAGTACGCACCCACCTGGGTTCGAACTCATGACCTTTTGGTTACAAAACGAGCTCGTAGACCATTAAGCCGCTGGGACCCGATACCTCTTGTCACAATAGTCATGTGTTTGTATGTATTAAACGTTAAGAAAACTGTATAAACAGCAATGTTAGTAGAGTATTCGTCTGAAAAGTCCTATCGAAATTCATGAATTCATTAAATACTGCTTTTTTAACAGTTGTTTGCTTGGCCTAAATTTACTACGGGAGGGAAATCTTTTCAAAATTATGAATGGTTCCATTTTGTGGCGGGGAAATTTCGCAGTTTATTTTAGCAAACGGTCAACATTACTTTGACACCTGAAACTAACCAAGATTTCATGAACCAGTGATACTTTTTCGTTTGATTACTTCTTGTGTCTGTTAGTTTTACTCTTTTGGGTAGGCCGTGACAGAATGTTCAGAACGCTTGTCATGTCAATGGATGGCATTTTTCCTTCATATCTAATTTCGATATTACTCATACTCAAACAGTACTATAGAAGTATTTGCAATTAAAACTTTCAACCCATTCACATCGGTTTGGAACGGACCCGCCTGACCATTGTGACATAGAAGGGGGGGGGTTAATTATGTCTGATACACTCACCTTTTTATAGTTAACCAGCAACCTGGTTAGAACAGTGTATTATACGAGTGCTAAGCAAATTTAACATCCACGGAGGGATTTCACTGCAAGCTCTTTTATACGGGTAAGCTGGAGAGGAAGGTACTAAGTCAACCGACAACTCCAATATCTATCCTGACGTTTCGAGTTAGATTTAAGACAGTAGGGTGACATTACTTGATGAAAAGTAAAGAATTTTATATCGATATAATGTCTCATGCAATTTCTTCAATAGTATCTGCGTCGGTGGCACAGTGGTTAGGACTCTCGCCGACCATGCACATGGTCCGGGGTTCGAGCCCACGCCGGCGCACACGTGATATCTATGGTCGGCCTGCAAAATTTGGCCTACCGATATCCATGCTGAAAATTCCATACTGTACCAGAAATACAGTGTGAAATCAAGCTGTAAATAAAAAAAAATGATAGTCTTCATAGCTTTGCAGGGACCCGATGTAAGCAAACCTGAAAATATCAACTAGATTGAGGCCTGCAAAAATCCGCCCCAAACAAATCTTCTCCCTTCGATAGGTTCTGCAAGAAACGTGTATTAATTCGTTTTTTTTTTTTGATTACAGCTTGATTCCACACCGTATTTTTGGTACAAGTATGGAATTTTCAGCACCTACGATATCTCAAGGCAAAATTGCTGACCATTATCATATATCCATCTGCTAAATTAGTACATTAGGGAGGACACTGTATGATTTCATTTGAAAATAAGAGTATGATATGACTACTGCCACTTTTGAAAGTCGAGTGTCATCTTTTTGTTTGATTTTACTACATATTTACTGATAGGATTGAGTCTGCTCCACTTTGTCATCTGAAGAACTTATTAGCTACCAGAGAAGGATTCTTTTGAATCATTACGGAGAAGAGATATCGACCAAAATATAGGGTCTTCTAAGCATTCTCAGCAAAATCTTAGTGTGTTTTGTATGACTCCACACTTTTTCAAGTATTAAATTATTTTCTTGTCCACACGTTGGCTTTTTCCTTTGTAGTTTGCATGTTATGTACTTCTGTCCTCTTCTTTAATATTTGCTTATTCGAAATTGAACTGACACACGTCATTACGAAGTTCTCTACTTAATTATCAGTCATTCATTCTCAAAGATTGCGTCTTTTATTTATCTCTTAGTAGAACCAGTGAGTCCCAGTGCAGAGGAGATTTTAAAATGGGAAACATTCGTTAAGATGTCATACTAAACTACTTTATCAGTTCATCTCCTGAATGATCTCACTGATGTAAATACTCACACTTTCGCCTGCTTACATATCATTAATGAAAGGTAACATTGATTTGGCTTAGCGAAATTCGTTGTTAGGATTTTGATAAGTCCATATAATGGGACATGAGTTTGCAAATTTTATATCGGCCTTAATAAATATCGATAATTAAGTTGAACTAGACACATCTATTCGGAAAGGCTACAATTCATTTTGTTTTGCTTTAATTACTAACTTTATATATATATAATAAGTGATAACAGGTACCTGCAAACCTTTCAAACATTTATACTCTCAAGGTAGATTTATGCGTATATTTAGCGATATCAAAGTTAACTGGTTGTTTTTCTCATTGTTAAATGTTTCATTTGACATGTAAATAATAAAATGACCAATTGTTGATGAACTTCATAAAAATCTGTATAGGTATATCAAGTAGCAAATACTAGTATAATTCTAACTAGACAGTAATATCTTATAATTGTACTATATTTATATAAGTATATATATATATGACTGGTATTTTCTAATTCATTAAGTTAGTTGCGGTGACATGCGAAGATTGATTATACTTTGGATTATTATTATTCAGAATTCATGTTATCCTACCAGTGGCAATGATGGTAAGTACCAGTACTACTGTTACTGATTTTAGTAGCAGATTTATTATGTTCTTCTCGTATTTCTTTGATTGTGTATACCATGGTTGCAGTTGGAATGCTTAGAAATGTCACACAGGCACTGAATTTCGCGGTTTTGATAAAATAAGACCAGCATAAACCATATAACTTCGAATTATTTATATTACGTGTATATTTGACTCATAAGTTATTTTGTTATAGTAATCAAGAAAAAAGAAAATAATCATTGCCGGTTACCAGCCATTATGAAGTTATGTAATATTATAAATATTATTATTATTATTAATTACTTGTCTCTTGGGTTCCAAGTTGAAAGAAGGGCGTCAACAGCATAGCGAAGCTCTGTTGTGTTTTTCAGCTGGTTTCATGATTGCCAACAAGCTTTAATTTAACGCCCTCCGTGTCACTCTTGGAGCCCTATTCGGGTTCCACTCGAGAACGTGATATGTGATATTACTCAATAGTCTCCTCAGCGTATACCTCATCCACCTCCATTTCATTCAGAATATTTCATGGGCAGTAGGTTCTTGGTCGGTTTGTTGCTATTCTTTCTGGCCGACCGCCTGATCTTCACTATTGAGAGTAGAGGTCAAGAGTTGATGAAAGTCTTCACTAGCCTATTGGAAATGGTTTTTTCATGATGTTCTGGAGGAGTCTCTGAATCACACAGAAGCACTCACATGACCTTAGTCTTTAAAATTAAACATCTGTTATACATGTCTCTGAAGGGAAAATTCAAAGTTCTTGTTAATGAAGATCGCAAAAAAATTATTCTGATTTAATCAAACTGAATATGGCGAACAAGGAAACAGAATGATCAATTTAATTTTTGTATGTTCAGTATATTAAGACATACATCGGAGGTCCGTAGTCTTCTCCTGAAACAAAAGTTTGTGGTTATATAAAGCTAAATATAACCTTCTGTTAGAACTGAAATATCACACTTTAAAGGGTACGGAAATAACTATGTGGTCCAAAGTCTATGTTAGACTAATCGATGAGAACATGGTAATGTAAAGTGCGCAAAGGAATTATTGAGTTCGTTATGTTTGCTGATGACCATCGATTTATTATAGAGTGCTGTCACCTTAATAGAAGGCTTTAGTACTTGGGTTATTGTCATCCAGTCACCTTGTAGTCTAAAGCAGATCAATAGACAGTTGTGATGAGGATACTAGGGTTATTTTAAGTTATATTTTGTCTCAAGTCGATTCTGGTTAGTGAACCGTTGAAATAATTACTGCCTTCTGATTGGGAACTCCTTACGGGTGTTCTCCTTTGATCTCTTCATGGAAAAAGCCATACATTTGACATCAAGCGTAATCGATTAGTGACTGACTCCTCTTTTTTTTGGTGGATACTGCCAGTCAATTCCAACTCCTAGCTAGTCACTAATTAAAAATTTATTAGTATTAAGTTATTCGAGCTTTAAGGAAGTGGTTGATTTCAAGATGCATTTCCTCACTAATGAAATGGGCCAGGGAGCTGATGTAATCCAAGGAATAGCTGTTTCTTTCTAGCTTCTGATGTTACAGAAAAGACCGCCTAACTTAATATCACATCATTTGTAACGGAATACAACTTGTAATTTATGAAATTCTCATAACTAATGGAAACGCTAGCATGTCTAAAGGTGTGAAACTTTGGTGACGTTTACCTTCAGAAAATATAGGCACGTACGAATTATGGCGAAAAATCACAGAGTTCATTCTCCCCTAATTTCAGTTTGTGCTGCTACGTAAGAATGTACTGACTTATTTTTCCATTCTTCCCAGTTTTACTTTCATGTGATAACTTAATGTATTATCGTTAGAAAATTCGAGTGTCCATCTTACTAACTTGACTGCGACACTATTTATTTTACTGGAAAATTTACTGTTCTTTGATGTTGGCTGTACAGTAGAACAAGTATCTGTTGAGTGAAGTCTACTGTATCCGACTAACCTTCCACACTTAGTGCTCTTCATCTATTTTGTTTGCATTTAGTTCAGTTACACATTGCAGTTTATAATAAGCGTACAAGATGAAGTCTTTACAAGTTGACACCTAACTCCTACTAACCAATAGGGAGGCACTGCAACAGTGTTACAGTAACTGGCCCTGTATCATTAAGTGTATGTCATGAAATCTTCAGTCATTTTTCTTCAAATTGGTAAAATAATAATTAAATTTGGCTAACTTCAGCTTTTTAGTTTTTCTGTAGTATTTCTACCTATTTAATGTGATGCAATTAGAGTTAGAATTCCTGTTAATTGACTTCAAAATATCTGTTATTGATAATGTTAACACTGTTTCATATAAAATTTAAATTAGTCGGCACACCATAGTCTGCGGGAAACAAAGGAGCTGAATAGTTCAGATTTCTTTCTGGATTCTTTGTGTTATTTGTGTCGAATTTTTGTTCGCCAAAGTAATTTACTAGAAATATATCATATTTCCATTCGGAAGCATCATATATCTCACTCATTTGTCATATGTGGATCAATATTTTACTATCGAACCATCCACCTCAGCCCGTATGACTTTTCACTTCGATTTAATCAAGCACTTCACCAGTTTGAAGATGAAAGTTTGCTTTTTTAGAGGAGAGAAGCTCATAAAATATCATTTGAAGTGTTAACAAGACTGCCCATTTCACCAACCTTTTCATCTGATAGTAGGTGACCAGGTATGGAACCTTTTTCTAAGACGTCAATCTTTGTAAAAGAAAAAGAGAAGAGAAAGACCTCTCGTAGACCATCTATAATGAAGGTAAATAAAATTAGAGAGTTATATCATTGAGTGACATTAACAAATTCGAGAGGAACCTGGATAGGAGACGGTGAGTTGGGCGTCCGGGGGTAATATGAAGGAGATAGTGTGAGGGGAGGATTTTTTTTTTTGATTTACAGCTTAATTCCACAATGTATTTTTGGTACAAGTATGGAATTTTCAGCATGGATATCGGTAGCCCAAATTTTACAGGCCGACCATAGATATCAGGTGTGCGCCGGCGTGGGCTCGAACCCCGGACCATATGCATGGTCGGCGAGAGTCCTAACCACTGTGCCACCGACGAGCTTATGAGCAGTCATGGAGCCAACTGAATAGGACCAGAGAGAATAGGATACACTGCAGATATGCTGTTGAAGCCCTATGTTCTACTCGCAGCCCAAAGGAATAATAATATGAATAAAAATTCATGTAGTGGTTTTCTGTGGGCCACGATATGATCACGTGGTTTGAGGTGTAGAATTCTACTCACACTAATTCCACTGGTCAATCTACACAGGGTGCAAAAATCATAAGTTTTAACCGGTCAGTTAATATTATGTTTCATCGCCACAACAGTTAACGTTTAAGCCAATCTACATACTAATATGGACTCGACATACTTAAATAACTGTGATGTTGTGAAGCAACAACTCAGTAGTTTCTCAAGCCAATGAAGGAATTGAAGCCCTAATGTTTGTTTCTACAAGGCTACTATTGCTCCCCAGTGTCCAAGTCAAGTGCATCACTTTACATTTCGGTTTTCAAAATGTATCGATAACCAACGAAAAACTATGATTTTGAGTTCTAGTACTGATGACCAGTGTTTTAAAAACTGTATAAATTAATCAAGTGCCTGTTGTGATGTTACATTTATACATACGCAACAAACTATGGTGAATATTTCAAACTTACAATCCATGTTCTGTTTACATAACGCACATAGAAAATATATTGATATGCATGTTAAGGTACTTTAATTCACAAGCCTATATTATTCAAATGAATTGTGATCGTGGGACGGCAATCAGTTTATACTTTGTTTTAAGGGTTCATTGATTAAAATCTGTCGTTTAAATACCCACTTTCATATTACCATACAGTCTAGCCCATATCTGTTTTGATGTTCTATGTCTGCAGAAGCCAGTTAGCAGAAAACTCTAAACCAATGTTATAAGAATAAAAATTGTGCACGGTGGTAGAGTATAATTCCATCATGGGTAAAATTTATTTTGATAAAGTCTCACAGTGTTATACAATAATGTTTACTGATGACATTTCGAGCACAGTTTGTTGCTCATAATCATATCAAGGTACACACACACACACACACACACAGAACTTTCTAACTTCGTTTATATAATTCCATTATTTTCCATCGCTTGATTTGATTGGCAGTAGTATTTTCCATATTTCAGGTATGAGTGATGAATCATTCCTATTGCATGTGTTGGGTGTAGACTCGATGAACAAGGATTCAGTAATCAACCTCTCTCTCCACCTATTTAGATTACTTTTTAGAATTTTAACCCTCTCCCACCCTATTGTGTGGTTGTGTGTTAATGCATGCAGTGCAATGTAGTCCTGAGCTTTTTTCTAAATTACTTATCTTCCCGGGGTCAACCACTCTTACCTTAGCTAAATTCTAAACCAATGTTTTACGCTTTTTGGCACTCATCAGTAGGGTTCATCTGCTACCTCAGAGGGACTTGTGTTTTTCTACTCACTTATGAAGACAGTGAATTATGTCATACTATTTATTTCTAAGATTTAAATCTGAGTAGCTACAGATCCATCTTTTGAATGCAAGGATGGTAAGATTTGTAGTGAAATATCTTTGTGCTGCTATCCAGCCTTTCTGATTTTATACCCTTATTTGTTGCATTGATATGAATTTCCGCGCCATTTTCGCCTAGTTTCAGAAGGAACAAGCCAAGAATTCGTCATACACAACTTTTTATGAATTAGTTTTGGTTAGAGACGAAGATAATGTCCCTTGCGTCCAAGGTGTTGAGTTACCACATATCTAAATGAGTATTCCGATTACACGTTCTTCCGAACTGCTTAAGTGAAAGTATACAGCTAGCTGGGTTTGTCGCTGAGATGGGTTAATGTCCTTTGTAATCGCACCGAAGGTACCGACGAGCCTACTGTTCTGAGCTGTACAATCAATAAGCCCTGCAAACATTTCCATCTAGACAATAATTTACTCATGTAAAAAAAGTTACTTC